CCACAGCCGCCCTGGTCCTGGCTGCCCCCGCGGCACCCGCTCCTGCTGCAGGAGGCCACTTTTGGCAGCACCGCCCTCGTCTCCGAGTCCAGTCTGATGGCTCAGGGGTAGGGTCATGACCAAAGCTGAGCCCCGTGGAAACCTTCTCTCTGGAACACGGGCCTGAGAAGAACAGAGGCTGCAGTGAGTGCGGGGAGCCTGCCAGTGCCCCGCCACTGAGGTTCCCGCAGTGGCCACGGCTGTTGTCCTGCCTGGCCCAAGTCTTTACTTCTTCCTTAAAGCGCAAGAGCAACCCTACAGCTCTCCAACAAATCCCTTTTCTAGCCAGGCTGACCAGTCTGTATCTGCTCTCGTTATCAAACGACCCTAACGCAGTCCCAAGTGGCGAGCGTTCTTCCCGTCGCGTCCTCCGAGCCCACCCTCGGCGATACTGCCGCTGCACCGAGCTTCCTTAAGCGAGGACTTGATCACTCAGCGATGCACGCATTAAGTATTATTATTATTCATTCAGCTTATTTATTGAGCTCTATTAAATGTGCAAGGCATAGTAAGACGTATCTGAAATACAAGAGTGTACAAAACTGACGAGGCCCCCGCTTCCTAGCAACGTAAAAAAGATGATAAACAAGGACACAAATAAAAAAGACGACTGGAGATCGTGCTAAGTGCTGTAAAGGAAATAAACAGGGTGCCACGAGCGGGGCGGCCAGGGCTTTGGGGAGGGGGCTGCCCGAAATGCCTCAATGTGACATTTTAGCTGAGACTGAAGACCTGCGTGAGAGAGCCAGCCTCGACCGTTTAAAAACAAAACAATAAAAACAATGGTTCTCCATCAGGCTCAAATGCAAAAATTTAAAAACATGGACTCCAAGGTTCCGTAAATCTGCTTTCAAACTATTAGGATGGTCTTTCCCTTAGCTTTCCCCTGGCAACTTCCTGCTTCAGAAGCTTGGTCTCTGAGGCACAACCCGCACGTCTTGCTGCTTCTGTCACCCAACATGGAACGTTCTAGACCTCATCTAATTTCTCCTTAGCACTCCACTCACCTCAACACTAAGCGTCTTTAAAAGCTCAGCTCAAGTTCCAATTCCTCCAGGAAGCCTTCTGTCATGGGCTGCACTGTGTCCCCCACCAAATTCATATGCTGAAGTCCTAACCCCCCCTTCCTGAGAATGTGAAGTGTATCTGGAGATAAAGTCTTTAAAGAGGGAATTACATTAAAATGAGGCCTTTGGGCCCTACTCCAACCTGACTAGTGTCTTTATAACAAGTGGCGATCAGGACACTCACACACAGAGACGACCGTGTGAAGACAGAGAGAAGACAACCGTCTACATGCCAAAGAGAAGCCTCAAGAGCAATCAAGCCCGCCAACACCTTGATTTTGGAAGTCCAGGCTCCAGAACTGTGAAAAAATAAATTTCTGTTGTTTAAGCCCCCTAGTCCATGGCACTTTGCTATGGCGGCGCGAGAAAATACCCCTTCCCCAACTAGTTCAGTGTACAACGAACATCGCCTTCCAGCGCCTGTATCACGGAGTGCGGCACCTTTTGCGTACTGTCTGCTCAGTGCCTTGTCCTGTTACTCCTCTGTCTCCCTAATGGAACTTAAGGAATCAAAATCTATTTAATATCTTTGACACTCTTCACGATGCTCAACATAGTACCTTGCAAAACAATAAATATTTATTGACTTTTCTGTACTCTGACACTATTAAATCCAGGAGTGGAAATTAAGCCATTTGTTCTCCTAACTTAAAACCGGCCCTGTCTATGGCCATGCCACCCTGAACAAGCCCGATCCCGTCTGATCTCGGAAGCTAAGCAGGGTCGGGCCTGGTTAGTCCTTGGATGGGAGACCACCTAGGAAGACCAGGTATTGTAGGCGTAAAAAATAAAAAATAATAAAAAAATAAGGGATTGTAAGCTGACAAGGTCCTTGCAATCTGTGAGGTCAACCAAGGGTTGCTTCGCCTAAAAAATAAATGAAAATAAAAAAAATAAAGCTGGCCCCGTCACTGCCCCGCCTCAGATTACTGATTTTCCTATTACTTCCTAGACAAAATCCAAAAGCTGGACTGGCATACAAGACTTTTCTTACTTGGTTGCAGTTCATCTCTCCACCTTTCTGGGGCACTCCTTACTATCCACCCTATAAACCTGCACGCCTGATTTCCATCACCTAAGATATCTTTCTTACCTTTACTTTCCTCGGCCAACTTCTACGGAAAGGTCCAGCTGTCTCTATAAAGCTGTAGTAATTTGCCCTTAGCCAGTAGCTCGGTCATCTAAACTACCTTTATACTTCATCTCTCCTTAATAACACAACTCTTTTAGTGACATGCTTTCATATGTGCCTCCTTCACGAGAGTCCCTAAAAGGGAAAATCCTTGTTTTCACCTGTGTATCCCTAATGCTGAGCGCAAGGCCTGGCAGGTATCTACTGAGCAGAGAGAGAAATCATCACACTCAAGGCTTGAGACCTGGACTTGCTCGGCTTTATTGCTCCAGCCTGTTGCAGAGCACAGCATGTAGCAGCTTGCTTTTTTCTCTCTGGATGAGCTCTTGTGGCTTTAAATACGATTGGATGACAACTCTGTGTCTCTGCTTGGATCTCTCCTTGGGACTTCAGCCTCTCAGGTGCCCAGTGAAGACTTCCTCCACAGGACATCCCACACATCCAGGATAGTAGGTGTGAGCCACAGCCTCTTGACCTTACCCCACATCTGCTTGTCCTCCCATGTTCCCCATTGGGTTCGGTGTGCTGCCAACCACCAGGTGTCCCAGACCAGAGACCTCTTCTCTTTCCTTTCCAGCTAGTCACCACCACCCAGCAGACCTCGCTCGTAAACAGCTCTAGATCTACTCTCCCATTGCCAATGGCTTTGGGGACAACTAAGATCGTCCCTTCAGTCACCTCCTCCTCACCCAGAGACTCCCTCAAATATTCAGCCCCTCTTTGTTACACAACTAATATCCAATGCCATAAACAATGTAAATTCCTCAAGGGCCAGGGTTATATCCTTATCGACTTTTATTTCCACAGAATGCAGCACACTATACATTTAATTTCATTAAAAGAATGAGTTAAGTAAACCAAAGCCCCAAATCTTTCTTTTTAACATCAACATTTAGGGCGTTTATATTCCAGTGTGATAACTACTGGTCATTAGAAATGAATGAGGGTTTTACTCCAAGTATCAGAGGGAAACAATTTTTTAAAAAATAATTTATCAACGAGACATCTTTGTCTAAACTGAATCAACCCACTTCGTCTTCTTAAGCAAGGCAGGAAGAACATAAGGCAGGCCCCCCGCTGATGACTCAGGGCCCTCATCGTGAGCAAGCCCTGGGCTATGCTGATGCACCGACGCCCTGAGATGCTGGAGGCGAAGACCCCGGGTCGGGCCGCAGTACAGCGCGGGGTCAGAGGGCGGCTCCCCCATATCCCACTGCTGGGCCGTCCCGCCGCAGAATCTGCCCGTAGACACAGCCCAGCCCCAAACGTGCGGCTGCAGTGGCACTCTCCAGAACCGCGCGGCCCGCGGCTGGGGCACCTAGCAAGTGGCGGAAGGGCTGGGACGCAGGAGGAGGGGGTGGCTCTGCCAGGGTCAGAGGTATGATCATTTGCGGTGGGCTACTGAACTGGTTCCCAACAGCTGGTCTGGACGATAAGCGAACCCGTTACAAGATCTCGGGGACTCGGGCCAGCAGAGGGCTCTGCTCTGGGGTCTCCAGCGCCGCTGGTCCGAAGCCACCCGTTCCCCGCCGCCTCCGGCCGCCGACGTCGCACCAAGTCTTTCTCAAGTGGGGAACCACCCGCGCGGCCCAGCAGAGAAGCGTGTGGCCAGCGAAGGGGGCCGCGCTCCGCGGCGGGCGGTGGAGACGGAGCCACGGGTCTTCCAGGGGACACGAGGCACAGGGGCGCGCTCCGCGTCCGGGCG